GTCATAAGCTAAATCTAGTACTTTGCGATATTGTGACACCCCAAAATCGTTGTGTTTATAATTACCCGATTGATCACCTATCAACCCACGGAATACTCGTAAATACCATGTAATTCTATACCACATCGTTATATTCTATTTACCGAGATCCATAATTTAACAAAATTTGGGCAAAGTCTCATTTGTACAAGAAGCTCTACCCAAAACGCAACTTGTATAATATTGACCACACTGAGTCTATCTATCCATTCACAATTATATAGTATTGAATACTACCATAATCATCATCATTACGTATATTCATTCATAAAAGAATAAATGTCTCAAAAGAGTCCCTTATATATGCCTTTTAAATATAAACAAGTTTTTGTTACAAAAATTACAAAAGGCCAAAAGTAATTATAAACAAGTGACTACGATGTCAAAAAAAAAGTCACAGACCGGTTCTGCCGTCAAAGCGAGCCCATGGTCTCACCTTCGGTGGATGTTTGTGCAATACCTGAAAAATGTTCCCCTAAATGGTGAGCCAACGCTCAATAAGGTAACTCTTATAGCGAATACCTCTTAACCTAAATGCATATAAATTGTCACATACAATAATCATTTCATACAATCATTCAAATATGTCTATTATGAACAAATATCATAAATCATGTCATGCCACGAGATGAGACTCATGAACACAATACCAACACCGAGCCCCATCCTGAGCTTCTACAACACATGCAATATCATGCGTATGTATCAAGGCATTCCAAGCCCCGTCATTAGTGTTATATACACTCAATGACTAATTAATTTATTTTCTTATGTCTTTGTGGGGAGATGATTTATGGTATTACACCAATGGGACACCAACCATCAACGGATTCTCAGGATATCCCACATGCGGCTCTGTTTTGGCCGTTACACTTTCATCGCCGAAAAGTGTATAAACCAAATAAGCGGGTCTTGAACCCGATGGAAAATCTAGCCCTTCTTGCTATTCCCAACACGTTTATCCATTTAATTTTTTGTGTGACTTAGCCGGACTTTAGTGCGACTTTTTTCGAACCCACAATCAACCACTTATGTGGTGATTGATTTCATCCCATACACACACTTTCACCCATGTCAATGCCCATGAATGTAATGTAACTCATGCATAATGACATTTCAATGTGCAATTGTCTTTGGTACCATTTACAATGTTCATTACATAAAGAATACAATATAATGACATTTTCAACATGGCAACATGTTTATCAATTATATAAACATAAGCACAAGTCCACCACAATAATTATATGCTAAATAATCATTCAACATACATATTATTCCATAATCACATAACAAGCTAATAATTTCATTAAACTTAATATGTCATTTAAAACATAAAATAATGCTAATGTACAATTAACATGATTTAAACCACTAACATTAACTTACACCAAGTTAATCATAATATGATTTTTCTAATTACAAAATTAATTATAAATCATATATTTGACCCATTAGTTACATTAGTTAAGACCCACTAGTTAAGACCCATTAGTCATATATTTGACCCACTAGTTACATTAGTCAAGATCTAACATGTGATATACATTCATGACCTATTCATTTCATATGTCATATTTTAGGTTGAAAGTAAATCTAAATAGAAAAAATTCTACCTTTCGTAACGTGAGTCCACGTACTGGAACTCCGAGGAAGCCCAAATTAACTTCCCAAACTTTAGGCCTAAATTATCGTCTTTGATATTCTTTCGGAGAAAAATACGATATTTAGTGTGGTTGCGTAGCTCTCGCTGAATAGAGCAACTTTAATTCTTAGCTTAAAACGATTAAACGGGTCAATCTTCGTAGGTCTGAGAATGAAAAAAAGAGAAAAAATAAAACAATACTCACATTTCTCTCTCTCACTCTCTTGGCAGCACACTGGAAGAAGAAAAGAAGAAAAGTGGAAGACAAAAGTCTTCCACATATATATATAGTATAATTTTATTTTTTTTAAAATTTATATTTTTGACCCATAATTTAACCATTAATTATTATTTTACCCCTTAAATTAAGATTTTTAATAATAATAATACTATTTTTTTTTACTAGGTTTTATAGATATGGTTAACTTTTGTCCCAAGCCTATGTCATTTTTTGGAGTAGTACAACACATATATTCGTTATTTTCTTTTTCTACAAAACGATGAAAAAAATTATAAAATAATGTATCGGGTTTAACTCTAAAATCATTGTCACAAACATGTTGAGAAAGTCGAATTGAAAATGTTAAAGCAATTAAATTTCAAGCTCCAAGTATAAGAGATGCATTGTTACAATTAGGAGAAACTAGTGAAGATCCAAAAACAAGAAGTGAAGATAATTGTTTAGCAACTTATGAGATTGAGAATTTTGATTTTTTATTGGGCATTACTTTTTGGTATGATATATTATTTTTCGTCAACTTAGTAAACATTTGCAATCAAAAGACATGCATATTGATGTTACTAGAGATCAATTAAAATGTCTCATTTTTTTTTTTTTGAAAAATATAGAGAAAATGGATTTACAACTATTATGATTTTATCTAAAAAGATTGCAATTGAAATGGAAATAAAACCTATATTTTCGTAAAAAACGTACAATTAGTAAGACAAAACAATTTAATGAGAATGTTGATGACAAAGTAACAAAATATGTTGAAGAATCTTTTAGAACTGATTATTTTATATGCATAGTAGATCAAGTTATTTCTTCATTAAATAATAGATTTGAACAATTTCAAATATATGAAAATATATTTGATTTTTTATTTAATATAAAGAAATTAAAATCATTAGGAGATGATAGTTTACAAAAATATTGTCTTGATCTTGAGTGTTTCTTAAAACAGGATATTTTTTCTTATATTGATAGTTTAGACTTGTTTTTAGAACTAAACATTCTAAAGAAAATATTACTTACGGAAGAAAGTATTTCAATTGAAATATTTATATAATAAATCATATAGGTGTTTGAATTTATGGAGGGTATATATTTTCCCCAAAGTTCACACACTTTCCCCCCAAAATTTCAAAAACCCAATGCACACACTCCACAACACACAACTGCACATACATAAAGACACATTTCAATGCATGCATAGTGTAATAATTCAATGTACCGTGACTTTAGTCACGGAATATCGCTAGTTAAATTATATAAAACGATTAGATTCTTTTCCAGATACATACATAGTTTATAAAATATTATTGATAATTTTTGTAATTGTTGTTTTTGCAAGAAAAAGTTTTTCAAAATTAAAATTAATAAAATCTTAAACAAAATATTATTTTTTAAAAACCTTAATTAGTATTTTTACATCTAAAAAAACAAGAAGAATAAAATTTGAATAAAACATTAGTTTTAAAAATAAAAAACCTATATTTTATCTGTCATTTTAGGCCCAAAAATGTCAAGAGCCACCCCTAGAAGGAATGTTCAGATTACTAGTTATAACCCGTGCCTGAAGGCATGACAAAATATAAAATTTGAGCGCCCAAAAAATAAATTCTACTATATTAAATTTTTTCAACATGTGTATACTATTAAATATGAATAATGTTTGAAATAAAAATTATATTAACAACAAATTAACCAAATATTAAATAATTAAACATATGATAGAAATGAGTGATGTGATATTTTTAAAGCGAAAATATATAAATGATTATACATGTTATAAAAATGAGTGATGCGACTTGACGTTTGAATATGACGGAGGGATGATTATAAAGATAAATGATTGATGATGATTTTGAGAAAAAAATATGACTGAAATAAAATTTAAAGTATTTGCTGTTTTAATATATATATATTTATAATGCTTTGGACAAGGGCATTGCTTTTGTCATACATAGTAGGCGCACACAAAATATGATACGGAATAGCTCTCACTTCCCATGAATAATTGTTACATGTTATACATAGTAGGCGGACATAAAATATGAAACCGTAAACGTTCCCCAAAAAGTTTATAAGAGAAACGAGTTGCTGTAAAATGGATGAGACGACTGAGACAGAGAAAATCCCATGGAAATAACTTGTCAATGCACAGAGCAGATAATGGATGAGATAACCTAGGTGTGATGGGATCCTAGTCAAAATATCGAAAACATATTAAACAGCTGCTATGTCGCAATATAAAAAAATATACACAACAGCTGCTATTGCCACAAAAGAACTACAAAATGTTGAAAATAGGGAAGAGAACACAGATGAGAACACAAAGAAACAATCCAAAACCAGAATCATAATCAGTCGAGAGATGTATGTTGAAGTTTTGGAACGTGAGATCTATATTTTATGGAACTATGTCAATGGTTTTTTAAGCAGGTAAAAAAACATCAGGCAAGTTGGCATCGAGGTTCAGTGGAGTTTGGATCAGTCTCGGTTCTGATTTACATGGGTGACAACTTCCATGCACATACACAGACACAATTAATTGACAAAACTTTGGACAAAAGTACCAATGAGAAGACTTGCAATCAGTTAAAATGTATCAAAATCACTGAAAATTTTGGTTAAGTTTGAAAATCTTGAAAATAACTTTGTAGGGAAGCATTCTTCATTTCAACTAATGTAACACAAGTTTTAAACATAGCCATTTCGCATAACCTTCCAACTCCGCTTCTTCACTTTAATATCAGTATAATACTGAATAAGAAGAAACGTATATATTTAAGCAGAACAGTTACATACTGAGTAACATCAATTTCTCTGCACATTAGATATGACAGATCAGAGAACTGGAGCTACTCCACAATCAACAAGTTGTTTTTCATTAAACCCTCACCAATGGTTGGTAATTCTGGCGACAGCCGCCACTCTCCATCTACCAAGAACTTGATTTGATACCTTCAATGACACAAAATAACAGATTAAGAAGGAGAAGAGAAGAAGAAGAAGGCTCAAGAGAATAGTACCTTCCAGGTCTAAGCATTATTGCTGTTGAGAACTTTGTGTAATAACCAGTATAATCTGCTGATAAGTGCTCTCCTAGACTCCAGCCATCAAAAGAGCCCATTACTTGCACACTCTGACACAAAGGCAAAATATTATTTACTGAAACATCACACACATTTCACCTAGAAGTTATTCATCAATGGTGTTTGACCACAGTGGAAATGAAAGTAAATCACCTACAAACATGGACCTACTGAAGCAAAAGTGCTTATAATGAAAAAACCTATCACGATTAATTGTTCTTGCTTTATACTCTTCAATTAATCCATATAAGTGATAAACTGACTCCCTTCAGATCCCATCAAAATCAGAACTCACCTCAAGGGCTATGTCAAACCAAATAGAATCCAGTACATTATTCTATACCAACCTGAATGAAATAAATTATATTATTAAAACAAAAAGTATCATAAAGAAGAAAGGTCGAGGCTGAAGGGAAATATATGATTTCATCTTTCACAGGAACCCACAACTCCTTTGGAGAAGAAATATGAGAAGGTTTGGGAGTTCTAACTTCATATGAGAAAAGGTCAAAAAACAAAGCTTTGTAATTTTTAAAGGTTCCTGACTGGTGTCTTCAGTAATTCCTATCTTACTATATCCCCTTCTGTGTAATGACTAAAGTTTAGGGTCTTCCTCTTCTTTTTAGTTAAAACTTCATTCAGAGTTATTGTCATGATTTTGAACTCCACATATCAAAAACCTCAGGGATTAGAGAAAACACCATTTCAAGGTTTGAGTGATTGGATTTACTTGCAGTCAATCAAGTTATGTCTGGTTCAACATTTAGATGAATTCAGCTCACCTCTGCCATGCCACACCAGAATAGCTGCACCTCTTTAGATCGTGCAGCATCCACATCTTTTATCTGTTCCTTCAGTTTTTCTTGTACAGCTTTACAAAGCAAATATCAATATCATATACAAACCCCACAGAAAAAAGTGCTACAGATAAAAAAAATATATGTTCAAAAAAAACAAAGTAATCTTGCAAAGTTCAGTTGAAATTGTTCACTACCATAGACAAAATACAATTGGATGGACATGGGAACTTTGAAAAGCCCATTCAACCAAAATAATCCATCCAATTCCTGGAATTACTGGGCGACAACTTTAAAGGCAGCCTTGAAGTCCATCAGTTAGAAAAGGGAAGCCATTCACTTCTCAAAACACCAAATTTGCCTTCAAAATTAATCTTGCTCTTAGCTTACATAGATGGTCTGGACTCAGGACCTCATGTGTACCATATACGTGCAGCAGCAGAAATCTAGAAAGCTGAACCAGGAAAGAGTAACCCAAATAAAACATGACAAAACAGTCATACATGCTAACCGAGAAAGTAGATGAGACTGAATGTATTTCCCGTTGATCTTTCTTGAACCTTCTGGAATGCCAGATTTAGATATTTCTTCTGCCAAACTCACCAAAGCCTGCCAGTGCAAAATTACAGATGAATAAATCAATTCTAAAATGGAGGATACTAGGTGCTGCTTGCACATTGAGTCTACTTTTCAAACCATATTCATGCATGTGCCAATCAATGGCCGAAGCATCAGGCTACAAGGGTCAGGCTACAGTGTGCAAGGATATCAAAAGCTATTTATCTAGTGTTGTGCATGATATATTAAAGGAATTTGGTGAACACAAGCTATACAGGGTTTGTCACCTATTGCAATCATACAGAACTAAATCAGTTTACTAGGATGCGTCAAAGTAAAAATCAAACTACCCAATCAATGGAACTCTCTCCAGTGCATGCAGCCTCAAACTAAGTTAATACTTCCAGTCAAACAACAGAATCCAAAATAAGGCCAAACTTCAATTACCTCTCTTGGAAAGTCGCACACTAAAAGAAAACTTATTACATATTACTTTGCCTTTGTAGAAAAATCATGGGTATCTTTAAAAACAGCTTATAGTCTGAGTGATTCTTTTATCAAAACACAAATAATATTACCATATAAATACAAAGAACGTATCATTTAATAGCAGAGTCGCTATCGCTTAGCATTGGCATCCAAATCTTGCACAGATTACAGAGAAAGTCCCAAGAATTAAGAAAGAGAGTAGTCCATCGATTTCTTTGATCTCGTAGGGATGAAACAAATCAACACACAGGCGCACTCACACATGGGTGCGTGTGTAAAGAGAGAAACTAAGGGGTGACAATAGCCAGAACTACACGAACAACAATACCCAAGCAACAGGGGAGTGAATTGCCCCTTCGAATGTCCATTCCAAAATTAAGTTTTCCTTCCATGACACAATTTGGCTATCCACACATTTTAACGTGAGTATCTTTTATGACCAATTCAAAAGCAAATGACAAAATAGTGAACTGTAGTGTCATTAAATAACATTAATCTCAGCTTTGGCGTAGCTACTCAAATTCACAAAGGAAAAAACATTTGGTAGCCAACTCTGATTAAGTTGGATAATCAAAAATTGGGCAGCTTATGGGAAGTTTATATTGTCAATTCTACGATACGGTAAATTTTGGTCAGGTGATGGAAGTGAAAGTGGTAGTGATAGTTGTGATAATTGTTGCAATCTCAAATATGCAAGGGGCTCTACTTTCTTGCTTTATGATATTTGAGTTGTTAGAGGCATCCATCCCAAAACCAATTTAAAATTAATGGAAGGTCCCTCATCCATACAGCGAATCTTGGGTGACCTAATTTTCTGACAGACACAAGCTCAATTCACACCATCTCTCGTGTTACCTGAGCTCACACATGGACTAACGAACCAAAAAAAAAATACTAAATAACACACTGAAGAATCTAATTAGGTGCAAACTTGATGCACCAAACACCAAAGGTCCAACTCAGATGAGATATTAGAGGAATACAATCCAGGACCAATTGAAAATGAATAGAAATGCCCTCAACCATATAACTAATCTTGGGTAGTTCCAAAGTTTCGATGTATGATACATGATCTTCACAGAAATTGTGCAAAGTATCCCTAGATGTGAAAGCTTTATTTTTTGGCTAAACTGGCACCATAAATGAAGATGAAAGGTGGAAAACTCTACTTCTCCAGTAATTGATTAAGTATATTTACTTAGTACATCAGCTAACACAAAGGCGGCAATGGTGAAGCAGTTACAAAATGAATGTACCTGAATCTCGAGTTCCATGGTGGCAAGTTCACTTTTGAAATTGACCAATGCATCCTCCTTCACGTACAACTGTAAACAAGCAAGTAATAAAGCATGTAGATCTTTCACCAAACAGAAACCCCACAAAAATTCTGCTGTGAAAATACCTTGATTTTAACTACTCAAAATCCTTTCGAAATCACATATATTTGAGGAAAATCATAAGATTGCATCATTCTTCATTAATTTCACATTTTGAATTCCATTTGAGGCCATTTCAAAGAACATCGTCAAGATAGTTACACAATTTGTCATATTAGCATCCAGAACTATAGCTCATTGTCTGCAAAGTAATACCATCTCTTATTTTCATTTTTTTTCCCATCCTCTCTATAGCGAAAAAGGCATGTTTAGAATCTCATACATGGCTCCACTAAGAGGGGAACCCATATCTGTTCTGGGTATAACATATCTCCAGCAGAACCTTAACATCCTTACATAGAAGTATTCATTGCTTATAACCAAAGCATGCATTTTCCTTTGCCCAAGTTGATTGTTGGTGCTCAATTATTTGTTGACTATAGGATAATATTGCTGAAGAAATCTGTCATATGGTCCCTTTCAAGCTATGAAGCACGAAACCTCATGTACGGACTGTGACCATGTTTCCTCAAATCATACACCACCACCACAGATCAAATTCGTTGGACATTACAAGCACACAGAGTTCATTACACCCCTTAAATAAGTGGCTCCTACCAATTGACTCGAAGTCTTTTTCAATGGGCAAAAATAACTTGATGGGCACACATTGTTATTTATGGCCTATGAACCACGGACACTTTGTTGAAGGTGGCGTGTCTATTTTGGACCTGTAAATCTCTTGAATACTATTGGACATGAGTTTGATACTCTTTTATCCATGTCCATAAATGAACGATAAACAAGTGCCACGTACTCCTTTGGTAACGTGTTCAACACATCTTTAGGTTGTATCTCCTTAAATATAGACACATATAATTACCAAGTCTTGAAAAATTGACGACTATCTAAAGAAAGTGACAAATGACTATCTTATGCCATGAAAGAATATAAAATTGGTAAGACTAGTAATGTTAAAGTTGTCCTTAAATTTTACTAATAAAAGTAAAATGTGCATAATAAGTTTTTCTGAAGAAATGGACTTGAAAAGATGAGAGCAGTTATTATAAATATGTAGGTTGCTTCACATTTGTATAAAGAATATTCGAGGATTATTGAGGACTATGATCTTTTAGCCTTAAAAAATCCACACTAGTTGGTTACATATATATTTACTTTTTATAAAGTACTAAATTTTTAGGAATAGTACTGTAATTATTCTATATCACAACAACATAGATACATAAAACAGAATCATGTGTAGTGTTTGCCGACGTGCCATTGTACCACTTTGTTTAGAAATGTCATGTCCAAGTTGTGTGCCGTGTCCGTCTCCTTCTTATTGTATGGCACATACATTTAACGCCATCGTTAGAGCCTTTTAGACGGTTGTGTAATAGAGCGTATTAAGATAGAGATCCAATGGCGTCAGTACAATTATTACAAAGCTAGGAAGAACTTGAAGTTATGGGCAAACCTGTCGTTTGAGGAACCGGTTCTGCTGGTTGGCTTCACTTAGTTTCTTGATAAGCTTTGCTCTTTCAGAGTCAACAGCTACAGCCTTCAACTATTAAGGAACAATAGATTATTGGCTTTAACATTTTTTAGCCAAAGTAACAAGTCAAGAATAATCTCAACTGATAAAATTCTGTTAAATTAGCTGTGTACTGCACTTTGATTATGAGGAAATGGAATTCAAACCGTTGATCTCAGGGGATAATGGCATTTAAATACATTACAGAAAAAAAGTAAAGGCCTGCACTAGGCAAAGATCTGAAATCACACACTATTTTATTTTTGTTTTCTTAGGCTCATTCATCCATATCCATATCCTCATACAAGAAAATTGTGGTAAACAAAATTCATTACCAGTAAAGACATGAGAAAATGACTATCTAAACAGCTCAATCAGGGGCTTTAGATCTCCAAAATTTCAATCTAAACAAGTTAAAGAAAGAAAATTTGCTCCTCCCCTCCCCCCTTCTTCAATTTCAAACGTGACGACAATCTATGACCATACTTGCAGGTATAGAAAGCAAAATTTTACCTACATCTATCTTTCTTTTTCCCATAGCTATGATCATGTTTACACAATATCAGGCATCAATCAAAATAAATGCAGATTTGACCACTCACAAGAAGAATGATTAATATCAGGCTGATTTGGACTTGAAGGCTGTTAACAATTGAACCCCCTTTTCACCACTGGGAGGTTCAAATACCATCCGTGGAACAAATATTAGATTACAGGTCCGAAATCATCATAAAAAAGGAAGCCTGCCTTCTGTCGTGGTAAGGTTTTAGCAGCCTGCAGGGGGCTAATGTTGCCTAAGTTCTTGAAAGAAATTTTCTTTCTAAGAATTTAATAAAAAAAGCAACATGGTCATTTAATAAAAAGGCATAAACAATTCAATGTTGAAGAAGAGTAATGAGGATTTCAATGACATGAATTAGAATGATACAAGCTGTGATATTGTTTTAGACAGAAATTTACAATCACTAAACGTTCACAAATGTATAATGCTGGGCTTGGTTTGAAGGTCTAAGTGAATGTGTCATACAACAACATGCAAAATATCTAAGCATCATATGGCATCTAAAAAATCAGCAAGTCAAACTTCACATCGTATTCAGTATATCTCATTCAAGTACTACACATTTGCTAAAAATTAGAGACGTACCTCTTCACTGCTCAATGGTTTTGCAGAAACCTCCTCCTCGGAAGCCTCAGGGGCATCCTCACCATCTTCTGAATAACTTTGCGACCACACAGATGAAAATTCCTCCTCCAGATTAACAGGAGCACAAAATGTTCTCCTAGATATGTGGTCCGCACAATTCTTTCCAATAGAAGCTTGATTTGAGTAAGTTAACCTTTGGGAGACCAGCCTTGAACTCCAACCAGCTATACTACCCTGAAGTTTGAAGAAACTTTCCAAATTTGAATTTTTTGTCCAGCATGAAGACAACGATATGGGTTTGTCAACACAATAACTGCCAAGATTGTAGAAGGTAAAAGAAAAAAAGATGTCATTGAAAATTTCATGTAAGTGAAACCCCTAAGAGTCAAAATTAAAGGGAGATATCAAGAAAACAAAGAAACAAAACCCTCTTCTGAATAGTAAAGAATATAAGAGATATCAGACTTAAAGTAAGATATTACCTTGCCCAGAATATCTGCCTCGAGGTATTTATGTTATGACACTCCATGACCATGGGTTTCTGCTGTGAAATCGGAAAAGCATAAACATGGAGGTCAGCATCCATATTATTCAACAACATGAAATCTGACACTCCAATTTGATAGTAAAACAGCAACAAGGCCACTAGACAGACTCACAATTGGATATGAGACAATTTGGAAGGAAAATATCATGCAGTAAATCACGCCGCAATTAGCGGGATTTATGTTGCAATTAATAACGGTTGATTGGCTGGATTCTAAGAGTTGATTAAGCTATTTTTCTGTATTTATTTGGAGTCTCCGCGGGTAGATGAATATAGGAGAAATTTGTATTCTTTTGAGTTTCAATAACAGAGGGTTTCCCCCTAGAAGTGGGAATTTTGTTTATTCTTCTGCATCTTTCTTCCTAGTCTTATCAATTGGTATCAGAGCACCTGTCCTGGCTTGTACTGACAATAATGGCGGAGGGGACTAGGGCGGAAGAGGTTAAGTGTATGGAGGAGAGTATTCGCACTTTGAAAGAGAATTCTGACCGACAAGCTGCTGATATGAAGAGCCTTACTGACCGCCATGTCGCAGACAAGAAAGACTTGAACCAATTGGTTACTGCAATCAACATCAGGTATGAGCAGCTGGTTACCCACCTTTTGCCGATCAATGAGCAAGGGCAAGAGGAGACATCTCGTGTTTCGGAGACTCCACTAAGAGGGCAACAGAGTTCTGTCCAAGAAGCAATTCAGACTAGATATGCCCGTCTGGATTTTCCCCCATTTCGATGGTGAAAACCCTAATGGTTGGGTATACTGCTGCGAGAGATTCTTCAAGTACAACTATGTCAACGAGCAGGACAAGGTCTATGTAGCATCCATTCACCTCGAAGGCATAGCAGTTGACTGATTTCCGAGTTATGAGGTTGCCAAACATCATATTACATGGAAGATCTTTACTAAGGACCTGTGTTTGTGTTTTGTACCTGGCCACTATGATAATGCAATTGGCCAATTGACTAAATTGAGGCAAACTGGTGTAGTGAGACTTTATCAGGAGCAATTCGAAGCTTTAATAACAAGGACATGCAGCTTAACAGAGGATTTCTTTGTGCAGTGCTTTACAAGTGTCCTGCGTGAGGATATTCGAAATGGAGTTGTATTGTTTGAGCCAACTACCCTTTCTCATGCAATGGGGTTGGCTAGGTTACAAGAGGAGACCATGGATGCTGTTATATGTCCGGCTCGAGCTTCTTTGATGCCAACCAACACCCTTCAAAAGGGGTTTTCTAAATCTGAACCCAAGTCGTCATTGCCACCTATTAGGAGAATCTCATCAGCACAAATGGAGGAACGACGGGCAAAAGGGCTTTGTTACTATTGTGACGAGAAATAGGTCGGTGGCCACAGGTGTAGGAAACAACAATTATTCCTTTTAGAAGCAGATGAGCCCCAAGAAGAAGTGGAACAATTTGAAGATGCCACGGCCGAACCCCTTGAAGGAACCATAGATATTCCAACTGACGAACCAGTCATCTCAGTCCATGCTCTTGCTGGCTCTACATCATACAATACCATGCTGGTGATAGAATTCGTAAAATAGAAGCCAATTATAATTTTGATTGATTTAAGAAGCACCCACAACTTTCTTAACCCAGAAGTAGCTAAACGAACGACGTGCACCACCTATCAAACCAGCCCCTTATCTGTGGCTATAGCAGACGGTACTAGAATTGCTAGTTCTGCCATGTGTCGTTGATTAATATGGGTTATGCAAGGAATCCAGTTCGAATCAGACATGCGGCTCTTACCCTTAGGTGGGTGTGACATGGTCCTTGGTGTTCAATGGCTCACCAACCTCGGACCTATCTTTTGGGACTTCCAAAACCTGAAGATGAGTTTAACTTTAAGGGAAAAAGGCATGTGTTGAGGGGTGGTACCACAAGACCCGTAAAGTTAATTGGTGCAGACAAGATGGGCCGCTTGTTACAACCGTCTACGCAAATAGATGTGGCCCAAATATTCTCAATCTAAGCCTTATCACAGTCAAATTCTATCCAGGTACAAACTGAAGCAGAAAATCCTGGATTATAAAGGCTATTGGCTCGGTTTGATCTAGTTTTTGCAGAGCCTCGTGGCTTACCTCCTCGCACGCAACAAGATCACAAATTCCCACTAAAACCAAGTTGTCTTGCCATTAGTGTGAGACCTTAGCACTACCTTTACATTCAAAAGAATGAGATTGAGAAGATTGTAATAGAAATGCTTAAAACCGGCACCATAACGTCGAGCGTAAGCCCGTTTTCATCTCCAGTTTTGCTAATCAAAAAGAAAGACACCACATAGAAGATGTGTGTGGATTATTGGGCATTGAATCGAAAAACCATTAAGGACAAATTTCCGATACCAGTTATTGATGAACTCCTAGTTGAATTTCATGTAGCACTATTCTTCTCAAAATTGGATTTACGTACAGGTTATCACCAAATTCGAGTTCACCCCGACAACATACATAAAACGACATTTAGAACTCATGAAGGGCATCATGAATTTCTAGTTATGCCCTTTGGGCTAACCAACGCTCTGTCAACATTTCAAAGTGTGATGAACGAGGTATTTCGGCCCTATTTATGTAAATTTATCCTTGTCTTTTTCGATGATATTTTGGTGTAAAGCCGCAATTGGGAGGACCATCTCCGTCACTTGGAGGTGACCTTGGGTGTATTGTTCCAAAATCAACACTCAGTAAAAAGATCCAAGTGCTCATTCGGGCAAAAGCAACTGGAATACTTGGGAGTTAGGCCACATTATTTCATACAACAGAGTTACTGCTGACTCCGCAAAAATTACTAGCATGGTGTTGTGGCCTCAACCTCACACCCTTAAGGCTCTCCGTGGGTTTTTAGGGTTCACAGGGTATTATCGACGCTTTGTGAAGGACTATGGGAAGATTAGCAAACCACTTACTTGCTGAAAAAGGATAATTTTATGTGGTCTATTGAAACAAGTGATGCATTTAGAAAGCTTAAGGTGCCATGTCGACAACTCCAGTATTAGCAATGCTGGACTTTTTAAAGACATTTGTTGTGGAATGTGATGCATTTGGAATAGGGTTGGGAGCAATGCTAATGCAAGAAGGGAGGGCCATAGCATTTGCAAGCAAGGCTTTGTCGGATCACACCTTGGGACTCTCTACCTACGAAAAAGAGATGTTGGCCGTTGTCTTTGTAATCGAAAAATGGAGACCTTATCTCATTGGTCAACATTTTAAAATAAAGACCGATCATTTCAGCCTGAAGTATTTATTGGAGCAATGCATAACCACACCAATGCAACATAAATGGTTAACTAAGTTGCTGGGGCATGACTTTGAAATATCCTATAAGAGTGGATGTGAAAATAAGGTGGCAGATGCACTCTCAAGACAGCAAGAAGATTCTGCCCATTTAATGGCGATGTCTGCCCAGGTGGCAAATTGGCTTGATCAATTGCAAGATGAGTGGAAGGCTGACCCAAAGGTTCAAACTATTATCCAAGATGTACAAGTCAACCCGACATTGCAGCCTAACTTCCAGTGGCAACATAACAGGTTACTATATAAAGGACAATTGTGGATTGGGTCAAATTCAACCTTAAAATTAGCCATAATTCGAGAGACTCATAATGGGCTGTGTGATGGGCATTCAGGTGTTCAAAAGACGGTACGTAAGATAAAAAGGCACTATTATTGGAAGGGCCTCCTTGGTGATCTACATAAACATGTGGCCAGTGCAATGTGTGCCAACGCAATAAGTCAGAGAACATAGCAACTCTCGGGCTCCTATAGCCACTCCCTATCTCGGATCGACCTTGGAGTGACATATCTATGGATTTCATCAAGGGCCTTCCTCGTTCACAGGGGAAGGATGTGATTTTTGTAGGGTTAGATTGTCTAAGTAAGTACTCTCACTTCATGGCACTTCATCACCCGTATACTACCTTAGATGTTACTCAAACCTTCATGGACAATATATTCAAGCTGCATGGACTCCCAAGTACCACTGTGAGTGATTGGGATTCAGTATTCACTAGTAACTTTGGGCAAGGATTGTTCAAGATATATGGAACCCAATTACACATGAGTACTGCCTATCACCCACAAACTGACAAGCAGAAGTTGTGAACCGTTGTTTGGAGCAGAATCTTCATTCCATGATTGGAGACCATCCTAAGGAATGGACTAAATGGTCACCTATGGTTGAGTGGTGGTTCAATACAAATTTTCACACTTCCACCAAGGTCACTCCTTTTGAAGTTATTTATTGTACCACACCCCCTACTTATTCTCCCTATGTGCTCGGGGAATCAAATGTAGCAACAGTGGACAATAGCCTACGGGAGGGATAGAATCATCCTATTACTCAAGGAAAATTTGCAAAATTCTCAACATAGAATGAAACAAGTTGTAGATGTAAAACGAATTGAGAGAACCTTCGAGATTGGGGACCTCGTCTATCTCCGTTTACAACCCTTTTGGCAAACATACTTAGCATGGAGAGAAAACAAGAAGGTGGCCCCCAAGTTCTTTGGCCCCTTTCCAATATTAGAACGGGTGGGTCAAGTCGCTTATCAGTTGCAACTCTTAGTGACATTCTCCATCCACCCTGTGTTTCATGATTCGTGCCTTAAGAAAAAAGTTGGGGAACAAGTGACTGTCCAAACAGGGCTACCCCAGTAGATGACGCTGGTTGGGTGAAACTTGAACCATTGGCAATCTTAGACCGACGGCTGGTTAAGAGGAATAATAGGGCAGTCACACAGATACTAATTCATTGGACCAACAGTTTTCCTGCAGACGCCACTTGGGAATATTGGCATGATATCGACCAGCGTTTTCCAGCATTTCGGCCTTGAGGACAAGGCCTATTTTGAGGGCGATGGACTGATATGGGACGATTTGGAAGGAAAATATCATGCAGTAAATCACGCCCCAATTAGTGGGATTTATGTTGCAATTTATTACGGTTGATTGGCTGGATTCTAGGAGTTCATTAAGCTATTTTCTGTATTTATTTGGAGTCTCCGCGATGAATTTAGGAGAAATTTGTATTCTTTTGAGTTTCAATAACAGAGGGTTTCCCCCTAGAAGTGGGAATTTTGCTTATTCTTCTGCATCTTTCTTCCTGGTCTTATCACAATTTTTGAAAAGTAAGAATCAGACAAGGCTCACTTCGTCACAGATTTCTTATTCGTCAATTGTCTAAATCAGGTTTGATTTGGTACCAGAATTTTCATACTTCCTCAAACGCATAAAAACACTTAAGTACAGAGTGACATTATAGACCAAAGCAAACAAGGACGACAACAACAATAAGAACAATTGTCCACATAAGAATTGAAGTTAAGTCTTTGATGAGAGAAAGTGAAGCACTTACAAGTGGTGAGAGGGGGAGTCTCCAACTGCAACTACACTTCACAAAGTTCCATTGTGTGTGTGTGAGAGAGAGAGATGACGGAGAACTGAGAAGGGCCCTATCTGTGGCAGAGAATTAGCGGAATCAGCCTGTGGCACGTGTAAGAGGAACGAGCGATAAACTGCTGAAATTAGTTTATATAGCGCACGGGATCAATCTATTTCTATTTATTTAGAGCGAGTCTATTCTCACCCTACAAATACCTAGCATGTAAAGGTGGTCATTAAGTTGGTAGCTGAAATCTCCTATGGACCGACAACAAGAACAACAAATATAATCGAGTTTGATGGGTCAGTCCAAAGGCCCAACTCAAGATATAAGGCCAACTTGAATAAAGAATTCAACTAGACGAAACTTAGTTGGTTCAGCCCTAAAGAGATTCATGTCCAGTCAGGCTCATTAGGGCTCCAAGAGCTGCATTATCAAGGAGTAGGCAACGCCATCCCAAGAGCCTTATCCATGCCGCCTTAGAAAAAGTCGACCACGTCGTCCTTATATCTACTCTTGGGGAGATCTCCGTAACTACCTCAACCGTTGCGAGGAAAACACCAGCTCCACCAAATTAGCTACTTATTTATTAAAAATGCGTCTTAGTCTGTTAAGAGGCACTATAAATTACAAGCCTCGCTAATGCATGGGGGGCATCGATCACATCTTGTATCACTCTCGTCTCTCTCATAGCCTGTACCTCCTTTTGTTCTCGCTTGATTTCCTTGCTCTCCTGCAGTAATAAAATATCTAGGCCATCCTAACCCTTCATTGTGGAGTAGGCCACGTTGACCGAATCACTCTATATATGTGTCTTGTCAATGTTATCTTTTTCTCCTTAATTATTGCATTAATTGCTAATCACTTTAACAGGTGATGCATAATACCAATTTATGCATCATCAGTTTGGCGTCGTCTATGAGAACGACAAAGTTTTCACACAACCATTCTTAAGATAAATCCACTACGTGAAGAGGAGGCCGCCCCTCCACTAGCTAATCTTGTTCCAAACCCGTAACAGATGCTGGAAACAATGAAACAACTCGTAACCCAGAATCAGCAAATCCTATAGTTGACGCTCGCTGGGCAACAAGGAGGTGTGTAGTAAGGAAAACGTAAAGCCAGAGGATCTCCTCGCCCTGGACGCCAAGGAGGTCCCCACCTGGGCACCCCTTTAGGAGCACCCTTGGGCGCCCCTTGCAGGGGAGCCCCTTATCAAAACCAAGAGGCAAATCCACCTCTTCTTCCAACTCCTTTTTCCTATGGTGGAGACTCTCAGCTCCAAGAGGATGAGGGAGAAAATCAAAACGTGGAGCATGAGAGCCATTTCCAAGGGAGCCCCCAATCAGTGGGATGACAGAATCAAACAAGTATAGAACCAACTAGGAAACATCTTCAACGCCATGAAAGCCCAAGGACCTGAAACAGTTGAATACCTTGTAAGACGAACTAACACACCCTTTGTGCTAGATGTAGCAAACTATCCCCTTTCCCCAGAAATTTAAAATGTCATCAGTGAAAGCCTTTGACGGCACAAAAAAACCGCTGGATCACCTTGATACTTACAAATCCTTGATGCAACTGCACAATGTTCTTGATGAAATCATGTGTAGGGTTTTCCCAGCTACCTTGAAGGGATCTGCCTGACAGTGGTTCTCCAAACTCATCTCTGCCTCCA